CCCTTAGTACTTAAAATATTATTTTAGAGCCTTGATTTTTTGAGTAAACCAGCGAACGTTTACTCAAAAAATCGTGTGTTCTCGGGGCTTAGGAATTGAGTAGGGCTGAAAAAATATGTTCCAATACCCAGCGCTTGCTTTAACGCTCGAGCGCTACCTTCGTAATTAGGGTGATAATTTCGGACACAACACAAGAACATGACTTATAATTGATACAAAATTAGCAGGTTAGGGTTGATTATTTTTCGACACGAGCTTATATATGATACAACCATTTCTCAACACGAATAATAAATAAGTTGAGTTAGTGTCAAACACAAATAACACGAAATTGACATAATTAATGCGTTTAAATAGTATTATAATAATAAAACATCAATTTTTTATTATATTTTATCAAATAGTAACCTAATTTTTGTACAAAAAAATATATTTTTATTCATTTTTATTATTATATTTATTAAGTTAATTTTTAATTTATAAAAAAAGTATTAGTATAAGCTCGATTAAGTAATAATGAAATTCAAGTCATATAAATTAACACGATACGAAAATAAATAGATCGACACGACACGATGAGTTAAATGGATTAAATTAGAGTTGAATAGTGTTTATAATAAAACCGATTTGACACAATACATATACAACTCGACACAACACGATTGTCACTCTTACCCATAATGGCTTAATTAAGTTTGGATTTCTAATGACAAGCGCTCTCAAACTGCTCATTTTAGGGTTCGAGCGCTGTGACTTAAACAAATTTTTAAACTCGATCAAAACTATTATTTCCTATTCCTACATAGAGAGATTGTCCCTTATGACTTAAAGACGAGACAAGGGAGTCTTAAATAGACTTTAGGGTTAAGAGAAACTACTTCAAAAGAGAACACATGCTTAGTAGATCAAAACTCAATTTCTTCGTCATCAACAAAAATTCTGATGAAGAATTAAGCATCTATTATTGAGGATCTTGAACACCAACACAAAAAATTTGAGGAGACTCAAGGATCAACGAAAGGATTTCAAAAGGGAAAAAAGAAAGAATTCAAGGACAAATCTTAAATCTCAATTTGTTGCCTGCAAAACTAGTTGTCAAGACACTTGCAATAAATTTCCAAAGTAATGATTCAAAGGCATAAGCGTTTAACCATGAAAAATAAGACTTCAAACTTATAATCTAAGTTTGAAATTAGTGAATTAAATTAGGTGAATCAAAATTAATCCCGTGGTTTTTCCAGAAAGAATTTTCACATAAAAATTAGTCATTTTATGTGATTGCTTGCCTTTGCGTATTTACAATTATTTTTTTTGCATGTTTGGATGAATAGTTAAATCCCACGTATGTTGATTGAGCAATTTAACTTGCATAAATCTACATTGATTACCAAACCAAACTAAATCAAATCAAACCAAACATTATGTCTCAATCATTTAATATCGATTATATAAATTCACTTTCATCATTCATTTCGATTATGCGTTATAAATTCATTTAAGTTAAATATTATCATGTATTTTTTTATTATTTTGTTTAATGTTAATTTAGATTTATCTTTACTCAGTGCTTCTATCGACATCCGTTGAAATTCTATTCAATCCCCTAAATCACATCGCATTGCTTCAACGTTCAACTTATAAAAAAATAAAAACATAACACAGGCCATAGATAAATTAGACAAAGAAGCTAAGCCAGGGTTTCAAACTGAAGCTGAAGGATTGTAAATCCCGAGTTGAGGTTAACCTGTTAAAAAATTTAGTCAAGCACTTACCCACTTTCAAAGAGGCTGTCACTTGCAAAATTCCAAAGAAGCAATAACTGAAACTACCTAGTGCAGTAGTTATTGGACACATGAGCTTAAAAAAAAAATTCATATGAATCTCAATTTAAACCAAAATCCCAGCAAATAGAAAGCACAAACTCAAATACAAGCCTAAAACATTTGGTTTCCAGTCACCACATACCCCTTCCTCGTGTCTTTTATATTGCTCTATCTTGGGGATCACAGTAACGCTAATCAGACCCATAATGAACAATCGCAATCATTCCCGGTCAGGCACAGGGTGGCTCAAGACTAATTGAGGCCTAAAATGACTACTACAAATGAGATTTTTTATTTTTAATATTAATAATTTTTTATTTAAAAATTATTTGTTTAGATTAAAAGTAGTCTAATCTTTGTTTTGATAATCAATCTTAAGAAAAATTTTATTAATTTTAATTTTAAACAATCATAATCTATTGATTTTAATTTTTATAGTTTAATTAAAAAATTATTTGGGTTTATTTTTTGTAATAGAAATAAAAAAATTCATAACACAAAATAGAAGAGAATTTTTATTTACTAGAGAGTGAGTAAAAAGGAAGGTCTTCGTTTACTAGAGAGAGAGAGAATGGTTATAAATAAAGAGTGTGTTTTAATTGACTTGTTAAAATTATTTTTTTAACCCTTAACTTTTTCTTTTTTTTTTTCTAAAAAATTTATTTTAGTATATTTTTAATATTATAAGTTGAGTTCATAAGCCAAACTACTCAAATTTATTTTTGATTGAATTTAAATTTTCATAGGACTTTTTTTAAGGCCTAAAATTTTATGGAGTTAAAAATTTTGATTTAAACAAACTATGCACCTACAAAATTTGAAACCTTCTTAAAATATGAGGCCTAAAGCTCAGACTTTGTTACCCTTGTGATAGGGTCTGGTCCGGCATTCACTACATCATTACAACATGATATTAGCCGACCAAGGTATCAAAGCGCAGCAACTAAACCAAAAGATCAGATACACAAATCTTTCTGAATGAACATTCCAAAGGCACACGTAATCACAAACATGCAACAGATTATAAAAGCTTCCTTCAGAATGCAACGCCTTTTTTTTAATGGTCCGGGACAATGCTAAGCTTAAATCAGTGTAGCCGCTTTGTAAGTTCAAAAATCATATCATTGTCAAACAGAAAAGTGTGATTCAGTAACAAGAATCAGTTGTATAGCAATTAAGCTATGCGCTGACCCAAATATGTAGCCAACGCTGCAATCAGAGGGTTTGTACTTGCAGTGCTAGCTAATCCAATTTTTTCAACTTTCCTAGTTTTCAGATTTTCTGTCCTCGAGTGGAGGAACTCAGCCGCATTGAAATGATTAAAACTGCTACCTCACAAATTGGCTGATGCTAATATTATCTTCACTGGCAACCTTCCGCGGGGTAGATAGGCCAAGGTCACAGGGTCCCAAAGAGTCATTCTGTTACCAGCCATAAGAAAAATATTAATTATTATCAGATTAACTGCTTGAAGTAATAGAGGAACTTCACCCTAAGGGGAAGAAGTCCCAAAGCATACCCATTTAGTGCCGGATAGCGCAAGACTGCTGTCTTCAATATGCCCTCCTCGCAAATGATGCAAAAGATTTGTCTTGGATTCCTGATGAGGCGGATCTTGTGCCAATCCTCCTTGACTGTTGACCTACATAAACAAAGCAAGACAATATCCACTACACCTGAAAAATCTCCAAGAAACAATGGACTGCAAATATGGCCATATCCTCAAATGGTACACTTTTAAGGCGCATTACAGCTTGAAAAACTGACCTCCTTATTTTTACTTGAAAAAAGTCAACAATGATGAATAAGAACAACAGAAACAGGTCCACAAGTATGACTACTAAATTAAAGCATGTCATTCAGATCCAAAACCTTCACATAAATTTCAGTTCTGAGGTACCTAACTTTTTCCCAGGTCTAATCTCAAGTTTTTGAAAAACAAAAGCTAAGCGAAAGCAACCACATTATGAACAGAATGGAGTGCTAAGGTAAAGAAATCCAATAGGTGATATATATTTGTATGCTAGGATTCAAACACATTATGAACAGAATGGAGTGCTAAGCTAAAGAAATCTTTTATGCGATGTAAATTTGTATCCTAGGATTCAAACACATTATGAACAGAATGAGTACTAATATAAAGAAATCTTAAACACCACGTATATTTGTATGCTAGGATTCTAATATGTATTTTGCTGACTATCAACCCAATCATTATATTAGGATGCGCAAAGCAGCATGTCCATGACTCCATTGCTCAGATTTTCATTCCAACGCATCACTGATGGATTGATAGCACTCAAAGCTGCCAAATTGTGAAAGCTGGTAATTTTTCATCTAAAAAAGATGAAAATACTTTCTATTCCCAGATTGCAATAATAGTAGTAAATACGAGAAAAAAGATAGAGCAAACCTCAGATAGATTAGGGAATCTGAACTGCCTTGAACGGGTATCATTGCTGCAGCCCCCATAACAAGCTCTTCCACTAGTAGCCACAGAATCTTTGCCCGCTGAAGAAAAGTTCCGAAAGGGGAATTCATGGCATGTCTCTTCCGCATCGAATATTGATGAATGTGAGTATTGTGAAAATGGCTTGGGCACTTGAGGCTTTGCATTTACTTGGGCAGCTATAAAAGCATCAAATGAATCAGATGTGGATAAAGTGTTTTGCAAGCCTGATTTGCTCCCGTTTGGTTTTGAATCACAATTATTGATCTTGCCCTGCAAGGATGCTTCGGACAGGAGGCCTCCAATGCTTAGGGTAGTTAGACTATCATCCCAAGGATATAACGATTGACCAAACCCCTTCTCTGTAGGTGGCTGCAAGCCTGATTTGCTCTTGTTTGATATTGAATCACAATTATTGACCTTGTCTTGTAAAGATGCTTCAGACAGCAAAGCTCCAACACTTATATCGGAAAATAATTGAATTGGCTGCAAGCCTGATTTGCTCTCACATTTCATGTCGAAGTTCCCGGTCTTGCCCTGCAAGGATGCTTCAGACAGCAGACCTCCAATACTTAAATTGGTCAAACTTTCATCCCATGGTACTGTTGAATGAACAGGGCCATCATCATTCTTCACTCCGCCATCCTAATAAGAAAAAAGGGCACATGTTTTAGAAATTAAAATTTATATTGAAAATAGAATGCAATTAAGCCTTTTGACAGAACCATGTGCTCTTCATAATTGTATCTAAACCAAGTCAAAAGATAGCATATGCATAACTGACCACAGAGAATGATAGGGAACCACCCCTTCTGCAAACCTCATCCAACAATGTTTCTAATAATTTTTCAGAGTAAATAAAACTGATGACAAAGTAAGAAATCAAATACTCTGCTCACTTCAATTACCTTGACCTCCATTGAGTTTCAAAAATGTTACATGCTATACCCTTTTGTATTAGACATATACAGGATGCCCATTGGGTTTGATCTTTGTAACAGACACAACCCTTCCGTACAACATCTACTAGTCATGTTCAACCAAAAACCAAAAAGATGTCTTTGTCAAATTTACCACTTTAATGTCAGTTTCACTGTTTTGACGTAAATGATCCTATGGAATTTAAGTGCTTGTTATGTAAAAATACACTATCACATCAACATTTAACATCCAATCATATCTTGCCACATCATCTCCTTTTTAAGAGTGTAAATCTCACCCCCACTAGATTACTCCACCAATACTAAGTACACAATCTCCTTGTCCCGTGTTTTCCGTGTTTTTCAATGCTACACCCCACTGGCTTGTCAGTCCTTGGTTTTTGAGCTTGTAGGGCTGCATGACGCAGCAGGGTCATTGGTTACAAAAGCAGAGGGTTTCTACATATGCAGAGGAAGAGTTTTAAACAAAAGAGAATATGTATATACATATATATAGCGTGCATATATACACACACATGAGAATCTAGAAGGCAGAAATCTCAATTCAAAAGTGGCTTCAAAAAAATGTTAAATAGTCAGAAGTTCTTAACTCTTAAATATTAGGGGTGAAATAGTCATTTATTGAGTCTGCTAATTGTATCCACTAGCCATCTACAACAAGGGAGGTTATTGTAATTTTTGGGGAAAAAAACAAGGGTACCACATTATTACTCCTACAACTCAAGGGAGATTAGTGTCACTAACCCTAGATTTATTATCATGTAATGTAACATCCTTGGCAGAGCCCATTATAAACACACTCATGAAGATGCATGTACCATAAATATTGTGCATATGAAGGTTTGGGCTCAAACTCAAACTTCATACTTCAAAAAAAACATTAAGAAATAAGCATATGGGGAGCAAGACAGTCAAAAGTTACCACAAGGTCAACTGTTACATTCAAGGACACCTGCTCAGTCACAACTGCATCAGCTGCTTTCTTTATATTGATAGATTTTATGAACCCTTCATTTGCCGCCTCAGTTTTTCCCATATCATCAGATGTAGTTCCTAAGACAGTATAGCAGCCTTTCTGGATGCCTTCAACTTTTGATGAATTTTCAAAGGGAGTAGATGTTGAAGGTAGCCCTGAGGTTTGTGGTTGAAGATTAACAAACCATCCATACCTAAGAAGGGAGATCAAGTAAGAAGTAAAGTTAACTACTTGATGCCCATGATGAGGAAAGTCATGAAGCCTCAAACCTTAGGCGGAAAATGGCAGGACTCCCTATGGCTTTGCAGACATCTCCCGCAATAATGCCACTGTCAGTCGAAGTCCATCTTCTCTTGGTGGCTAGGTTTTCCAACCTTGTATTGTATGGAAAAAGAATGAGTTCCCCTCCTGCAACACTTGAACTGCTCCATTTGACATTAAGGTGCTTGAGAACAGATGATATCTTCTTCCGAGAACTTAGAGTGAGCTCCAGGAATGGATTGTGACCATCCTACAAGAAATGCCACTGTTACCTTTATAAACTCCCAATTAGAAATCTATCTTAAGAAGAATTCTGTTTTGTCTTCAGGCTTCTAGGTTCACAACCTCACCTTCTCCAATCCTATACGAGTGCCTTCGTCTATTGGGAAAAGCTGCAGCTTAATCTTTGCAGAAGAATGCAGTTTCTCAGTTTTAAGCTCCAATTTAGATATTTTTGTTGTTTCTCGGAAAGATTTACCAATGGCTGGAAGCTGCTGACCCGACACTTGAGATACACTGCAAGCTAAAACACCTGGATCTTCTTCAGCAGACAAATATTTGCATTACCCAGAAAACAAGAAGTTCACAGATTTAAGTATGGAACTGAAGACAACTAAGTTTGAGACTGAGTGTTGTTTTCACATGTGTTCTAATCTATCTTTTGAACCAGACAAGTGAACAAGACACAACCCTTTAAGAAAAAACAATTTGAAGTCATTATATACGAAACCAAAGAAACCTTGTGAATGACATGTAAAAATAAGGAATATCCATTAAGCAAGCATGCACAGGGGTGTGTGGAGGTGTGGGTGAATATAACAATTTTACAACCGAAAGGACATAAATAAAACTGACAGCAATGCAACTACACCACATTGATTGAGATGCCTTACCTATTACTTTCTGATGTCGTCTACCATTTTTACTTGTTGATTTCCACACTCCAGCAGAACCTGCATGTTCCTTTTGCTTTCTGGGAGCATCACCTAGGTTCCCTTTTTGTTGTCTAGTAGATTTCATATTAGTTCAGCTTTGCTGCAAATCAGATCAGTAATCAGGTTTCCTGTTCTACTTTCACTTCAAGAAGCCAAGTAATTCAACCTGACTTTAATATTTGAATTCGAGGACCATCAAATTTGCCGAATGCAAATAATAATGGCTGGCTTCTATTCAGTCATATGGAAACATGATCCCTTGATCAACATGACTGTGATGATACGAGAGATGACCCCAGAAAACACACAAAAATAATATACAAGTGTCATAGTTTTCTCTCAGATCTCTGTTTTTCCAATAAGGTGATAAATATCAAGAAAAAATAATAGAGAAATAGATAGATATAAAGAGCAAAACAGATACGTGGGGGTCGACAGTAAGGGGCAGATTTTTCTAGTGGGGGAACGGATACAATTACCACCTCCTAGACGATTGTAATGTGAAAATCAATAACTCAAACATCACATGAACAGATAAATACTGATTATATTTTGGAATTAAAATTCAATCCGTGTCAACAGAACAAGGAATCATACAAAATCAGAAAGATACTGTCGTAATCCACAATCAATCGACTATCTAATTCCAATCATAAAATCCCAGTTAAAATTCAAAAAATTCAAATCACAACATGTATGTACCCTGGCATGCATATATCAACAGAAACCTTTGCGTACCATATCGAGGACTTTATCAACACTGTGGATTCCCAATCTACAATGCTCGTGATTTTTCGATTTGAAGAGATAAATGGTGGCGGGAATGATTTGGATAGAGAGTATGGCCGCCTTAAATTTGAAAGCCGAACTATAGGGTTTTTTTCTCAAATAAAAGTCGAATCTCATGTACCTTCGTTACTGTTAGACAAATGAGAACCAATCTTTTACGGCCATGTGGATGATGAGTCTGGACGTGTGTCTCACGTACGTACGGAGAAAATATTAAAAGCAACTGTGATACTATCTCACCTATCAATAATAAATGAAAAAGGTAAATTCCATTTGAACTTACGTGACAAAAATATCAGAAATTATTTGTTTTCATGATAAATTAGTTATTAAGTTTTATGGATTTTATGTGCTTATTTATTTTAGTACTGTTAGTTGGTCATACCACATTATCTTATCACGTAATATCACCGTTGTAATGAATATTTTCTCATGCGTAAGGGTGACCTGATTCTTTCAATATCAATAGTCGGCAGACTCAGCGCGGTAACTCTCTATGCCAAAAAATAAAATAAAAATTTGGTGATCAGTTTTTTTATATGATTCTAGGGATAATTTTTGTCTAAAAATACGATATAATATAAATAATTTTGAAAGAAAAATTGGTGGTTATTAAATGAGTTTATTTAATACCATCGGATAAACTTATTCAAATATATCATATTTTATATTATAGAATTAGTTGATAGGTCCAAATATATACTTTTTTAGTGTCCAAAGGACAATATCTTATTTACCCCAACTTTCAAAAAAACTAGACACTTCAATTATTTACACAAAAATTACTCATTTTAAAATTTAAACAAATTCAAAATCTCCTTCATTTTAGAAGATTCTAAGTTTAAACTATATTTCTCTCAAATTTTTATATAATAAAATTGATAGATTGTTTGTCTTGAATTTTTTGTGACTCAGATCATTTAAGGAGATTATTGATTTGACGGTCCTAATTTAAAATTTTTCCTCTCCAATTTTTTAAACAAGACTTTCATTCCTTTCACAAAACTTATATCTCTCTTATAACTATCTTTCTCTATCTAATATTTTCTAATACTCACTCAACTCACATGTCTTTCTTAGTCAACTCTCTCTCCCTCTCAACATACTGTTATCATTAGTATAAAAATTATTTGCTAACATTTTAATTAGGTTGTTAATTATGATTCTATATAATTAAGGATTATTTTTAAAAATATCAAATAAACAAATGAACCTTAAATGTAGATGTTTTGCATTAAAATGAGTTGAATGACTATAATATATGTCATATTTTGTATTGAAATAAAATTATTATAATATTCAAATGGTATAATAGACGAATAATATATATGTAATTTGTGATATATCTATACAACTTTAAAATATCAACATATATGAAAAAAAAAATTCCACTTCTATCCTCGAACACTACAATTATACCATACTTATCCTCCACTTTAATGTCACAACAAACCTAACTCACCTCAGCCCAAAACCTTTCCTCTTCTCAGCCCAAAACCTTTCCTCTTCTCAGTTGTCACCCTCTCTCTGTCTCTTCCTATTCTTAGTCGTTTCCCGCTCTCTCTCTCTATCTCTTCCACTTTTCAGCTGTATCTCTTCCTCTTCTCAGCCATCTCTCTTACTCTATCTCAGCCATGTTTATTCACAATTCAACACACTAAACCAAATCATCACCTCTCTCTCTTCCCTATTCACTCACTAACTCTCTCTCTCTCCCTTGTTGACTGTGTTGGATTTGTGCACTTTCAGCGTTCTTGTGGGTATTGTAATTTTTTTGTTTACCTTGGATTGAAATCTGTTCAGATGCTCTCTTATTGAATCTAAGTTTTAGATCATTTTAAGTTATTGGGTACTCTTTTTTTCTTTTGGTTCTCCGATATTAATTGTGTTTGTGTCAAATGGCTTTAATCTTTTCTTTGAGGTTTCATATTTTCTAATTGACGGAAGATGGTTTTTTTTTTGTTGCAGGCATGGAGAGTAAGCATTCTGTGACATGCACTAGCTAAGAGATGAATCTTCAAATTTTGTGATTCCTTAATTTTTAGGCTTTTCCTTTATTTGGGTCATTTGTATTTTGGAATTTATGCAATTGTATTTGTGTATTCAAATTCTTGGAATCGTCGTGTGATATAGGCATAACATTTCAGTTTTTGACATAGGTCGCTTTGTATGGTACTGATACTCTTGCTAATAAGATTCCCAATGGGGAGATAAAAAGACTTTGCAATATCTTCTTGAATATTCATCTTTGTGAAATTTGAGTATAAGCGAGAGTAAGAATTGGTTGTGTGAGGTATCTTTAAGTAAAGCTTTCATGTCATATTGATTTTTAATCAAACCCATTCACAATCATAGTTTTCATTTTATAAGCAGTGTGATAAGTTCATTCTTTCACAACACAAAGTGAGGAACTATGATTCAACAGATTCTATGAATCGATTATCGATCAATGTAGTAGTCACCTATTGAGGCTTTAATTCAGGGCTTTCATGCTTTGGCTTCCTTCACAGATGATGATAGTTAAGGCAAAAAGAAAAAAAAAACTAATGGGGGTCTCTCAACAACCATCTAGTTCAATCTCTTTTGTTCTTCTAAGCAGGAGCTAAGAGGGATATTATCTTATATTAAGACCAAACTAAACAACTCTATACTTAACGGAAAGTAAAAATACTTGCACTTTCTTTGTTCTCAATATCCACTCATAAATGTTTTTTACAAGCATCTATGTTGCATGATGTTGTTTTGTTCTTCTAATATATGGACTTGGATCTAAAAAGGTTTTGGTTGAATATTTTGCTTCAACTACTTTGAGTACTATGTAGGTGTTATCAATGGATATCATCACCTGACCACTCTTTTTTGTGTACCAACATTGACACAACACATTTATTTTTGTTTTTGCAATATTTTTATCATACATTACTTAGTATTAGCCACAAATGCATGCATTAATTGATGTTCACAATGTCAATGGTGGTCACCAACTCAGACACTAGAGGCCCTACATTTTTTATGTTTTCGAGGACATATTGAGAAAACTTTTACTTTTAATTTATCCTTAACCAAAATTACAAACTCAATTTTGGAACAATAAAATAAAATAAATAGGTATTGTTCAATGCAGAGAAACATAGATAGATCTGGTTCAGGTAGAAAGTTTCCAATATGGAAATTATGCTGACCATATCAAAATATAGGAAAATTCTATCATTGTAGGCTTTAAAATTGTAATTCATGTTTAGACATCTCCTTTTTCTTGGTCCATGGATGTTTTGGGATGACTATAGGATGAATGGAATCAAAGAATCAAAAAACAAAAACTAATGGTTGTAAATACAACACAACCCTTGGAGCTATTTAGATTGTTCATTTGGTGTTGCAAAAAAATGGGTTGCTTATGAAAAACCACAAAAGTGATTTCATTAGAATATATTCTTAGTTTGCGAGTGAGTTTGTGAGTTTGGATATTGGTGTAGGTGGTTCACCAGGGCAATAAAGGCATTTGCAATGGTAGAATAGGAAGCAAAGAAGCTCAATTATCCAAACATTGGGACTCCGTTCTTCTGATGCAAATATCGATTGGGACTTAGCAAGGCATTCTTTCCCATTATAAAATGCTTCATGGATACCTCCACTTTTAACTGGTTAATTTCATTTTTCTTTCCTTTTTTTTTTCCAATTATGTCTCCTTTGAATATTCTTCTTCTTGAAGCCTTGATCTGTCACTTTCTTTTGAAACTCCACAGAGAAAATTCAAGCACAAATGAAGGTTACAACTCTAACTTTGGTTAGTGAATTCATTTCAATTAAACACTAAAAGTTGTATTTGTATTACTCATAGGCAAAGGCAATGCTCCAATCAAATTGAGTGTGTGAAAAACTATTCCCCTTGTTGAAGATATATGTTTTTGGAATTGACATAGTTGTAATAATTGGTAGCTTGACCTAATCAGTTCTTATATGAATATATCGTTGGAGATGGTCTAACAATTGATACTGGTTTCATATATTATTACCACGTTCAAGCAATAGAAAAGATGAAAATTTTATGCTTAAACAAGATGAGCCAAAAAAGAAAAGAGAAAGAATATGTTGAGTTATAAAACATGAGCTGCATATTTCCTACCATTGCTAATAGAATAAAGAAGACAAAGCACACAAAAGTGTCATTGCCAATTGCAGTTGAGATGATGATTGATGAGTAGTGATTTTTCAGTATACTATGATGAGCAATGGTTGGTAGTCTAATAGTTAGAGAAATTTGGGTTAGTAGTTGTATTTCACATTTTGGCACCAATTTCTTCATTTTTAGTAATTATGGCCTTTTTCTCATAAAATACAAGAAATGTTTTTGTACAGCCAAATGAATTGATTCAAACCCAAATAAGTAAAAAAATTTAAAAAATAATACATGGAATGAAAAATAGTTATAATATTAGTTCTTAATTTTTATAATATAATTATGTGCCTATTCTTTCTGTTAATTTGATTTGACCTGATCTTTGAAGATAGATTTATATATAAATTTATTTTAATTAGATGTATGAATTAGAACTCTTATATAACTAAATATTATTCACGTGCAACGCACGTGTGTAACAACTAGTCTATATAAAACGCCACTCTCAGTCAGCTCTCTTTCTCTCTCTCTCACATACTGTGATGACTAGTATACAATTTAATCGCTAACACATTAATTAGGTTGTTAATTATAATTCTATATAATTAAAGATTATTTTTAAAAATTTCAAATAAACAAATGGACCTTAAATATAAATTCTTTGCGTGAAAACAAATCCAATGACTATAATATAAGTCATATTTTTTATTGAAATACAAATACTATAATATTCAAAATGGTCTAATAGACGAATAATATATATGTAATTTGTGATATATCTATATCTATCTATACTACTAATAAAAATATCTTAACATGAAAAACTTTTGATTCACTATTTTGTCCTTATTAAAAACTATTAAGGTTAACATATCCTTTTATATTTAAATATACAAATTACCATTATATTTTTATGTATTTAAATAAAAAATTAATCTCTAAATCATGTAATTCT